AAAAGGATGCTGATGCCCAAGAGAAGCTTACGATAGTAAGTTACAGGAGACGGCAATTTTATTTTTCTGGTTGGGAAAGACATGGATATCCTTACATTATACCAAAAGGATGGGCAAAAGGACGGGTGACTTTCTGCCAGAGAATGGATTCTTTTCACTGATAGGAAGAAACTGTGAAACTTTATTCCCTGGAAGGTTCATGAATTAAGCCTAGTTCTTTCCAAAGTGTTGTGTCTGTATTTGGCCAATTGACTTCCACAGTAACTTGAGCTTTGCAGTTTTTCAGGATGGCTGAAATGAATGGAAGGCTAAAGAATGAGGCAACTGAGAAAGGAAGCTTCAATCAACATGAACTTTCAGGGGCAGGCAATACTAGGTTACAGCACATGTTGCCATCGAAATATACTTTATAACCATGTGATGGAGATCGACTTGGCCCATGGTCTCCTCTTTAAGCTGGAGAGCAAACAGGAGGGAGGTAAGCATGGTGAAGGACCTAAAGTCCATGTCACATGAGGACGGATTGAAAGAACTGGGATGTTTGTCCTAGAGGAAAGAAGACTCAGGAGGGAAACAAAAGCTATCTGAGTATTTAAAGTAATGTCATGTGGAAGTAAGACTTACTCTGTTTGAGCCCAAATGGCAGAACCCAGAGCCATGAGAGGAAGTTGCAAAGGGGAAAATTTAGTTTTCACATTGGGGAAAATCTTCCAAACAATTGGAGCTGCCCCAAAGTAGAAGGGACTGCTTTGGGCAGTGGTAGGTTATTCCTCTTTGAAGGTCTTTAATCAGAGGGACTACATAGGTGTTGATTATGGGAGTCTATGAATTGCCCAAATACTAAGAAAGAACACAAAGTAAGAAAGAATTAGCAAGGCCACTTTGCTTTGTGGTTTGTTTGTTTATTGCCAGGAAACCTGAGTTTTATTTGGAAATTGCCAGACATGAAGACAATGGAAAATCAGCATAAGAGGGAATCTAGGAAGGAAAAGTCTTTGGAATTTCAGTACTGAAATCTTAGGGCGAGATAAAGTCTAGCAGTGAACTTTCTTCTCAAACAGCATAGTCTGGTGATTGAAAGCCAAGAGGGAGGACAAGAAGATTGGAGGATTAGGCTAGAGCTTGACTTGAAAGGCTTAACATTAAATCCAAAGTTGTTGACCATGCAAGAAGAAGAGACCAACAGAGAGGTGATAGTTGACACTGAAGAAGGAACCTAAATAGCCAGCCTCTGGTGGAGGTTTCCAAATGGGTCTCTTGGGATCAGCTTAGAAGCGGTGGACTGCACAAACACTACTCATACTGATTCACATGATTAAAAGAACTGATGTCTCCCTGGGGTGG